TTTTTTTTTTTTTTTTTTCATCACAATTTGTAGGCTGCTGGCATGCAGTTGATGCGCTCTGCTTTGATTCGAAATTGTAAAGCCAATGTCGTCTGCAAACAAAAAGGCCAAAAACTGAATATAAAAGCCCAAAAGTTTGGCCAAAGCTACAACGGCTTTGGCATGCTCTGAAATTACTTAAAAGCTTTAAAAGTTGGCTTTTCATAAATTTTCTATTGATTTACCACAAATCCATTTCGACACACGATTACAAGTTCTTTTTCCAATTGTTGTGAGTTTCCGATTCACTTTTACGATGACTGGTGTCCTAATGATGCACGGCGTCATCACGACCGACCAGATGATGCACCATCGCAATATAGCGCAGCGGATTGTAGAGATGCGAAACCGCTGGAAGGAGAACTTCAGCTGGTATCCGGAGGCGCAATTGCAGCAGTGTTCGCGCTTCGACGACATCTATAAGGAGAGCCGAGCCAGATATGGCGATGCGGACTTCAAGCGATATGTCGAAATGAAGCGCCTAAGGGGCATCTACTCCACCGACTCCGACAAGGCCAAGCGCGAGGCGCACCAGACGCTGTCCTGCTATCCCATGGACTATATGAAAGGCATTAGACCATCGCCAACCACAAATGGTGTTTACGGTCTGATACCGCCGGCCTATCATCATTTCTGCGAAAAAAAGAAAGTAAAGGAACGATTTACGAAAACCTAATAAGGACTTCAACTTCAGTTTGCGATTGAGCGAGGAAATAAAAAAGGAGAAGAAAATATTTGTCTAATAGGGTTGCTCAAATTTAAATTCTTATACGAAATCAAACACAAATGGATATAGATAATATATATCATACAGAACAAATGTATATATCTGATATATATCCTTCTGCGTTTGCTTTCATATAAGTAATTCATTCTAGCGCCATACTTTGAGAGCTCCTCAATCTCATTCGAGCTAACCAACGCCTGTGTAAACTGTTTGTCACCTAATAACTTAAAATTAAATAATGTATATTAATCTGAAGAATTGATTGATTTCAAGGAATAGACTTCGGCTTACAGGACTTTTTCTTCCGAACATCTCTCGAGTCTAAGTAAAGTTTAAGTAAAGTGTCTGAAATCATTAAATTTGAAGCCATATGTATAATTTTATCTGAACCAAATTATAGACAACTATTAATAACATTTATTCAGAAGCCCTGAATTGAGGAAGAAGTTTTCTAATAAAATAATGTAATAAATCCTGAAAAAATCCAAAGTACTTTTTTTTTATTATTGAAAAAAGTCTTAAAAAAAAAAAGAGAAATGCGTATATAAGTTGCAAGTTTTTCATTTTCTGCTCTAGCTAAAGATTCAATAAATAATATTTTGTATTATTAAAAAAAACTATTCTGCTTTTATTTGCTTTTTTTTTTTTTTTTTTTTTTTTTTTTTATGCTGCTGTGGCTGCTCTTCTACTGCTTTTTCAAATGCTCTAAAGAATGTGGTTTACTTTTTTTATTTTATTATTTTATTATTTAAACAGGCTTTCTACTATTATACAAAGTACTTTTTTTTATTATTGAAAAAAGTCTTTAAAAAAGAGAAATGCGTATATAATTTGCAAGTTTTTCATTTTCTGCTCTAGCTAAAGATTCAATAAATAATATTTTGTATTATTAAAAAAAAAATATTCTGCTTTTATTTGCTAACTTAAATTCAAAAATTTACTTCAAGTAATACTCAAATGTGAGCTACAATATTTTTTTTTTTTTTTTTTAATGGTCATCGCAACCTGTCATGACTTGGTTCAAGAGCTACGATTTCCGCTCTACAAATTAAACATAGGCCTCACGAAGCGTCACTTCAAAGTGCAATGCCAACTCTTTGAGTATCTTGAAATGACATGAATACATTATACTTACCTATAACCGTTTTCCTTTTCCCCTTTCTTGCACCCAAGCACGCAGAACCCATGTAAACTTTTCTCAGATCTTTAAGCTCTATCGTTTGAATAGTCTGAATGCTCTCTTGCAGCTCCCCTAAATTAGGTAAACAGATCCACATGCGCTGATCATTGATCACGCTAAAACACATTAAATTAGTATAATTAATTTATTATTTATTTATTTATTTTTCTCTTTATTGCAATACTATTTATTGTATGTGTAGTAGATAAATATTACATAAAAAGAATATAGTGTGCGTTTTTTCTTATATATATTATATATATATAAATGCATTTATTATAATACCAGTAGCCAGTGCTTAGTTCTCAAGTTGATCTTAATTGGGGGACTAAATATATTCCCTAATAAATAAGTTTTTTTGAAAACTAATCAAATTCGTATATTTCAGGTTATACCTATAGCTCTCGCCTCTCGAGCTCCACTCTCAGATGCTCGCAAAGAGTGTTTAGCACTTTGTCATGGAAAACTGCATGTGATGGCGAGGCAGCTGCAGTTGTTTTGTGACTTTTGTGCCTTGCTGTGATTTTAGGTTTAGTTTTTATTTAATTTGTATTGGATGTTTGCCTTTGAGCTCCTGCTGCGGTTTGTTTTGTGCGGTCGAATGGGCAGCGAGTCATTTGCCCGCTGCCTTTGCCATTTCCATTTTCATTTTCATTTCCAATTCCATTTTCATTTTCATTTTCATTAAGCAACAAGTTTTTAATGCAGCAGCTCAGCAACTATCGCCAAACACGTTGGCGTGGCAGCGCGTTTTCCGCACACGGGAAAAAGGAAAACACTGGCAGCGGCTGTCGTGGAAAACTTTTTAATCTTGTTACGCTGGAAAAATAATAAAATTAAAGCTTGACGCTGGCTGTTAGCCAGTTTGTGCAGTTTGTGAAATGTGCTCCAGGTGAAATGTTTTGCGCATTTCAATAAGCCATTTAAACTGATAATTGTTTCACTTAAATCATGTTGGCCACTCGCACCATCGAACCATCGCAGCATCGCAGCATCGCACCACCAACGGCGCCGCACCACCGAAAGTTAATTAAAAAATTGTGGCCATTGCGCTGGCTGCTTTTGTGTAAGTAGCTCCCGACAAATAAACTGCAATTCAATTAGGGACGCGGCCATAAATAAGCCACAATGAGACAGAGACAGAGAGACACACTGTGTCAGAGAGAGATAGCTACTGACTGTAGGCATATTTAGGTAAATATTATTATAATTTCCGCGTTCGCCTTACGTTATTTTGTGCCTCTTCTTTTGCGGCTTAATCTTTTATAAATAACAAATGCTTTTTGAAAGCACAACTTTGGTTAGGTGGGCGTGGCTGGCCCATACAGCAATACAAATGCTTGCAACTTGGCTAAAGTAATTATTTTTTAATAATTGACTCGTTTCTGTTTGTTTGGGTTTTTTTTTTTTTCAGTACTTTTTTTCTTTTTTTTTTCAAATGTTTTTGTTGCTGCTGGTGTTGGCCTAAATTTGAACTTTGAACTAATTTGGCAAAAGTTTTCCGGTCTGCACTGCGTGTGGCTTTGGCAGCTGCTTTGGTTACAGCTCCAAGCCACAGCGCGTTACTTAAACTAATTAAATTTATTGGCTTTAGCGAATTGCTAAATTTCACAGAATTTCATAAGTTTTTAAATCCGTTTTGGGACTTTTCTGGGCAAACTGCGCTTATTGCTTAAAATTAGGCAGACGGACTGGTGGGCCAATTAATGACAAGGCAGACAATGGAAAGTACATCCCTTTACCTGCAAGACTTATTGAAGTTTCATCAATATCATTCTTAGAAAAAAAAATAAAAATAATAATAATTATAATAATAATAGTAAAATTATAATCTTTATGCACTTCGTAAACAAGTTTAAAAATCGTAATAATATATAGCAGATATAGTAAAATCATTATTTATACATACAAAAAATAATCCTCCCTACTCGACTTTTTTGCAATCATTTGCCATGTCCTTGATCTAATTAACAAACAACAAAAAGTATTTAAAGCCCCATGTTAATTTGTATTTAAATATTTGCAAACAAAAGCTGTTGTATAAAGTTATTTAATTAAATAAACATGGCAAATGCATATGAATAAAAAATATTTATGCATAAAGCAATTATGAAAATGCAAATTGCAGCAAAAACCAAATGGAAAATAAAAAGCACAATTTAAATGCATTTGTTTCAAATTAGCTAACTTAGACAAACAGCTTGCATTATTAATTTGCATTTAGCCAGCCAACAGCTGAAATAAACAACAACTTTTTGATTGTGCAAATATTTTGGCAATTATATGCGCTGCATTGCATTGAATTGAGTTCTTTAAATGCCAACAAAGCGGCCAAAATTTATGAATATCAATATATTTATCGAAAGTGCATTTCATTAATTGAGCTGGCTTTTATTGCTGCAGCTAAAATGAAAGCATTAAGCGTAGTCACAGCTGGGTTATTTCAGCGAGCGAATAGGCCACGCCCACGCAGGCTTTTGACCTGGCTAACATACACGCGACCTGAAATGAATTAGTCGGCATCAGAGACCGCTCAAAAGCAGCGACAAAACTCAACGCCATTTAAGTGGTTTAAGTGTGTGTGTGTGCGTGTGTGTGTGTGCTGTGGGTGTTTTGTATCAAATTGCCCTTTTGGGTTTTACTTTTATTTTCTTATATATTTTTTTTTTCATTCCCTTACTTTTTTTTGTCAAATTTCTTGGTTATTTTCTTGTGGCATGTTTGACTTTTGCAACTCTTTTGGGTGCTGCCACGTGCCACGTGCCTCGAATTAAAGTGAAAGTCTTATTAAACTTTCAGATTGCCAAGGCAAAAAAAGGAAAAAAAAAAAGGAAAAACAAAAACACTTGACAGCAAACACCACCGCAGAAGCAACATGTTACATTTACTGCTACGTTTATTTACTTAAATTGTGACAGCAACCAAACAGGAAAAATTAAATACATATATTTAAAATAAACAAAGCTGAGCGAACAGAAATACTCTATCCAAACTGGGTGCCATAAATTCAGGAATTATGTGGAATTTTTATAAATATTATGTACATTAATTTTTACATTTTATGTGAAATTTATTTTATATTTTTATTT